CTGTGAACCTAAAAATTTACAGCCACTTTTGAAAGAGATGTATCCTTGCTCTGGAAATTGTTACTGAATAAGTTAAAGCTGTAATGAAATGCTTCTTCTAATCATGTGGCTATTAAATTTAAAAAAATTAAAAAAATAAAAATGCTTCAAAGCATAAAAATTTGCTCCTTAAAAATTAGTAGATGTGAAAAACATTACCATTGAAATCTATTTGATGATTTTATATCCATGCTCAGATGCCAAGGAGCGCACAAAGTAACCAACTGTGACTAGTAATAATCAGATATATAGAGATTAGAAATGCATGTGCAAACATCTTAGTGTTAATTGCATTAAAAATGAATTTTTCTGTATGAAGCTGTGTATTTTAATAATGAAATGGAGATCTTTTTTAAAGGTTACTACCTCACTTAATTTTATGTCTTACAGGGTTTATACTGAGTACAATATTGTATAACTGTATTAATTAAATTGCAAACCTAAAAATTACAGCCAATTTTGAAAGAGATGCATCCTAGCTCTGGAAATTGTTATTGAATATGTCAATGCTGTTGTAATGAAATGCTTTTTCTAATTATGTAGTTATTAAATAAACAATTTTTAAAAAGTGGCAAGAAAATACAGAGCATTGTATGGGTATTTAGCATACTGAAAAAAATGTTTCTTTTGGCTGCAATCAACTTTAGCCCTTTTGGATAGTTAAGAGTCCAATCTTATAAATGTAAATGTGTATAAATGGTTACTTAGTATACTGAAAAAAAGTATTTAGCATACTGAAAGAAAAACGTTTTTTGGCTGCAATCATCTTTAGCCTTAAAAAAAAAACAAAAACAAAACCAAAAAAACTATAGACCAATTTTCCTGATGAATATAAATATGAATTCTTAAAATTCTTTTAAAAATATTTTACTATTTTTATTTTATGTGCATGAGTATATTACCTGTTGGCCTAGAAGTGCACCTGCATCATACAATGCCTGTGGAGGTCAGAAACAGGCATCAGATTCCCCTGGAACTGAAACTATAGATGGTGGTTAGTCATCATGTTAGTGCTGGGTACTGAATCGAGGTCCTTTTCAAGAGCAGTCAGTGTTTTTAACTGTTGAGTCATCTCTCCAGCCCCCTTCTTTTTTATTGACAGGGTCTCTCTAGTCCCAGCCCGCCTGGAAGTTCCTGTATGGATCTTATAGAGAGCTGCTTGTCCCTGCCTCCCAAGGGCTGGGATTAAAGGAGTGCACCACTACGCTGGGCCTTTAAAAATTCTTGTAGACTGAACTTGAGAATATTTAAGAAAATCATACATGATGACAATTTGGTTTCAGTCTGGAGATGCAAGGATGACTCAACATACATGAACTGATATATGTTAATATAGTACATAAATAGGCTTAGGATAGAAATACAGGATCATCTTAACAGATTAAGAAAAGGCCTCTGACAAAGCTCTATATTCCTTCTTGGTAAAAGTTGGAAGAAATGAGGAAGAGAAGAAACACACAGAGGGCTATCCATGGCAAACCTACAGCTAACGTTGTACTAAATGGGGGAAGACTGAAAGCATTTCTTCTAAAATCCGGAGTGAAGTGAGGGAGCGTACTCTCTCCACTCTTACTCAATATACTGTTCAAAGGTTTAGCCAGATCAGCATCAGAGAAAGAAGTAAAAGAGATGCTATACAGAAAAGGAAAAAAATAAAATTATCTGTATTTGTAGATGACATGGCCCTATACTTAAAAGACCCTAAAGATTTTATCAGAAAATTCTTAGATATGACAAAAATTTTCAACAAATAGCAGTATACAAAATCAGCATACAAAAGTCCATAACCTTTCTATAAACCAATAGAAAATTTACAAAGAAATCAGAAAAAATTCCATTCACAACAGTGTTGGAAATCACTGCCCTGTTCAAACTCTGCTGAAAGCATGCTTGGCATACGTGCAAAGTCACCACCAGCCAAGAGTGTCTATGATGGCAGACCCAGATGGACCTGTATGTTCAGGTTCTGAAGTTCAGTGTGCCTTATATTTAGATTAGATTAAAAAACTATTCCTTATTTATACTGTTGTGTGAAAATCTACTCTACATCTAGTAAACAGGTGACACTGTGTTACTAATAATTTCCTGAACCTCTGCAGAGAAATGTCCTTTGATCTGCCCATCTTCTGTTCCTGAGAATATGAACTTTGGGAGTTGTACCAAAGTATAATGATACATATGTATGAAAATGCCACTATCACAATGAAACCTCTATTTTGTATGCTAAAAAAATAGTAAAGACTTTTGGGAAAATAGAAGATTCTGTTAGACCCCAAAGTCCACAGACTAAAATGTATGTGTTCTACCAGGGTCTCAGCAAACTGCAATGCCGAGGCTCCTTTGTTCCACTGGTATGGGAGGCTCAACAGGAGTGCAACTTCATGGCTTGCTAAGAAACCTGTGTTCTACACTAGGGCAGGGCAGGGGCCACTCAGGAGGCTGAGGCCAGCAGGTGAGGCTGTCCAGAGGTGAGCACACATCATTTCCATTCATAAGGATTGCCTGTGTCTAGATTTTTCCTTTCCCAGTTGCGAATTGAAAGCAAGAACTGAGGAGGAATGATCCATTGACAGTTTTCAGCAAGGCTGGCCAAGACAAATTTAGGGAGACTACATATTTCTCTTATTTTGCATGTTTGGGTTTGCTGTCATAACTTAGGTATTACAAGATGTTGAGATTATGGAGTGAGTCAGAGATGGAAATTTAAGAAGCAGAATTCTACTAGAGTGAATGAAACAGATCTTTAAAAATATGAAGCCTTTTCCTAGCCATAAAAAGAGCATAGTATGTAGTCATGAATAAATGAGACAGTGTAGGAAACTGAGCAGGAACACGCTTAAAGAGCTTTTATTTGAAACACAAGATTTATTTGATACTAAACTATTTATAGTCATTCTGGTCACACATGTGAGAGCAAAGGAAATGAGAATATACATGCCACAGAAGAGAAGCTCATTTCAAGAGGGCGCACGGCTATGACACTTAAGAAGCTGACACTGAATGCTCTTCTAAGAAGGAATACTCGTGGGAGAGAAGTTGCATGTTCAGTTTTAAAGAAGTTAATATGTAAATGGTGTTAATAACTATCTGTGGTTAACCAGGCTATAGCTTACAAAATACAGTCATTGGACCTTTACTAAAATTTAAGGACATGAGATTCAGTTCCCATTCTTGACCTTCTGCCTTAGGATGCGAAGCCTTGACATCACAACGTCCCAATCAGCATAAGCTCCTTCCAGATGGCGGGATATTTCAGTTCCTGCCTCGTAACTACGTCTGCCATGAAGCAAGCGCCAGTTGTCAAAAGTAATCACATCACCTAGGCAGGAAGATTTTTCATGAGTAATTTATATTTAAAGGGTTTACAAAGATAGAAAATACAACATGCAAAACACCACCACTACTCAGCTCATATCAGGAAATAGCACATTTATTTCTGTACACAAAACTAAAAAGATATTTTTTAATTGTCCAATTTTAACTAAATCTAACATTTGACAGTCTTGCACAGGTGTGCAGTGCCTTTTGATTGTTCTCTCCCTCCTTTTCTTATCCCCGTATCAACCCCCCTCATCCCGACTAGTCCCTTTCCAAAGTTCATGACTTTGGATTTTGTTTGGTGACTCATTTAGTTTAACCAGGAACATCTCTGTAACCATTGTATTGAAAGTATCCACTGGAGACTAGTTGGGTCATCTGTGGGTACACAAGGTGAAGGCAAAAGTTTGCCAAATGCACTATGAGATTTAAATTACATAGCTTGATGGGCTCCCATGGACATTGTAATAATTCTTAAAGTATTTTCTCTGTGTAAAGCTTTTATATTGTTTTTTTCAGCTTTAAAAATTATCTCAATAAAAAATGTTCCTTTCCAGCTTAAGAGCTTCAAGTAACTACAAGGATAGTGAAAACTCTTTGATGCTCTTCCATACTCCTAGTATTTTGTATACAATTTAAAAAAGAGGAAATATTAAAAAGAGCATTATCTCATCTTTTCATATATGAGGAAACTGAAGTTTCAAATTGAGGGATTTACTCCAAACTACATTGCCACTAAATGGTGGATCTCAGTTTCCAAATTGTATTTTTTCCCTAGAATGTTCCCATTTTATATGATGTCACTCTTTTAAAAATTTATTATTTATTTATCTATCTATTTATTTATTTAATATTTGTATGCATGTGCCTGAATATGTGTATGTGTATGTGAATACACGCAAGTGCCAGAGAATGCGAGAAGGGCTTCAGACTCCCTGGAACTGGAGTTACAGGTACTTGTGAGCTGGTGGGTGCTGGGAACTGAACTCTATAAGAGAAGAGAGAGAGAGAGAGAGAGAGAGACAGAGACAGAGAGACAGAGAGACACACAGAGAGAGACAGAAAGAGAGGCAGTTATAAGAAGAATGTTCAATTTGGCCAAATCAACAGCAAAGAGAAATTGTGCCTTTTATTAGGAATAACAAAATCATGTTTGAGAGATCCATTATTCAACATGGTGACCATAATAAGGATGTACTATATTCAGTAAGAAGGTAGATTTTATATGTTCTCACCATGAAAACTGATAAATATGTAAAATTATGCACATATTAATTAATTAATCTACCTCATAATATATGTATCATTCAAAACATGGATGTGGTATACATAGATAATTTTATTGTTAGTTGAAAAAAACAAGAAGAAAAAATGGCCCAAGTTTGGTGATTACCCAATCAGTAGAGATGATCCAGAAAAAAATATCAATGCTTTTTTCTTTATTTCAAGTATCTGGAACGGGCCAAGTCCTTCTTTATTTCAGGCATTACTTTCTTTGCTAGTAAGTTTTATCAATATTTTAGAGTGAGAATCACAAAATAATTTTGCATAGTAGGATTGGAAAATTAAGTATAACTTTTTATATTTTTCAATATATACAAAGTATATACTTTGTATATTTTTTAATACCTTGTGAAAGAAACAATGTCTTGTTAGCACTGTGAAGACTTTTCAGAAAGTTTATTAGGAAGGTGGCTATCAGAATAGAAAATATAAAAATCTTAATATCAGACACGAAATTTATCTGGCCTCTCTCTGGAATATTCTTAGATTGGAGGCTCTTAAATTTTAGAGTGCTAGAATTTACCCTGAGAGCTTGCAAAAAGAAGATTTTTTTTAAAGCTTGGGGTGTCAACATTCCTAAGGTGAAGGTGTCAGGAATCTACTATTTAAACAACCAGATGCTCACTAAGATTCTGCTGTGAAACTGGTCTGGACATCATTCCAGATAGGTAAGATAGAAAACCCATTATTTCATTTGTTTAAGAAAATGAGTCCACTTACCTGGATTCATCTTGAAGGTATATTTGTATTCTTTGCTGTTCATGAGGTCAACAAACTCTTTCAGAGCAGCATAAAAAGGCTGAACTTTTTCAATAGGAACATCAAACACCGTGTCTCTGGTTGCATTGTTGAAGTTGATGCGAATCACCTGGCCTTTATCGTCCAACCTATTTTGTTTGAGAGGCAAATTGAACACATATTCATGGAAAATCTAGTTACATCTTTATAAGGTTCAATGGCTCTTGAAAGATATGCCTGAAATGTAGCATTAAAGAAAATAAACACATGTGTAGATAATCTGAGCGTTAGGAAAATTTGTGGTCCAATGTATTCCTTCATTATTTTATTCATTTGGCAAGTGTTTTTTGAAAAAGTAATACAAGGTCATAAAGATTCAATTAAATTAAATGATACAGAGCATTTGAGTTAAATATTTTATAGTTTTTTAGTAAAATTCATTCTTTATTCTTTTAAATAGATTATACATTTAAAAAATGCTTATTGGGAAGATGGACTTTGAGTCGGTCCTGCAGTGCCAACCAACTTTGCCTTTTATTTAGGTAGAACTAGGGTTGATGAGTAAAAACAATTTGGGAGGGAGGTGGTCAAGAATGGTGGTAAAGTGCCTAGAATTGCTCTCAGAACCAGTATCTCTGGCTAGGCCAGAAGGTAGAATTGTGGGTCAGATCAAATGGATTGTCACATGTACCAGACAGAACTTGGTGACCCTGGTTTGGGGTTATCCATTTATCCATTCTGGAGTCTATGCCTCTATTTTCACAGACTAGTAAAAAAACACTTGTGATTAATAAATCTAATGCAAATCAGATGGGAGTGGCTGGTTTGGGGTCGGAGTTTCACTTAACTGACTGGTCGTATTTGGAAGGAGCCCTTATTAACTTCAGAGTAGAGGATGAACAATTCTCCTGTCTATGGTGTACAGATTTTGACTCTCCGTTCCCCTGTGTGAGATGGCTCCATGAATATTAAATCCCCTGAGCACAACAGTGATTGTGTTGGTTAACTCTAAATGTTGGTGGTTAGCACCAACTCTTTGCTTATTTGACAGTGAGAAGAGCTACCTATTGGAGCCATACTAGAGAAGAAAGCAGAAAGGAACAAGTTTTCAGGAAGGTTTCTACATCTTTAAACCATGAATTTGCATTATGTTGCTCTGAATGCAAACATGACAGAATAAGTAATAGAGTAGTACTTACTCCCTTGCTCCCAACACACACACACACACACACACACATTTTTTTTACACACACACACACACACACACACACACACACACACACACACTACAGACTTCCACATTAATAAAGAATTCTCTGGGGCTTTAGCATATCTACTAATTGTTCTTTAGAGTTCGTACTGCCAGTTTCAGAGCTCACAGAATCTGAGGTCACTGTCTTTAACTCTTCACTCTCATTGCTGGATTGCTCCTAACCTACTTTTCTTTGTTTATTCGCATTGTGTAGTCTGTGTGTGTCATTTGATATGTTACTGACCAGGATATTATAGCTTTGGAACTCTTCTTCATGTCTGCCCTTCCAGCTACCTTGGTGATCTGTTTGTTTTTGTTTTCTTTTACTGTGTAATAGCTCCTTGATTTGAATGGTTATGCCAGGTATCCACTCCAGAACTATGCATGTGTCTTCACAGGCTACTGAAAAGGCACTTATAATTAATAAATCTAGTAAGAATCAGATGGGGTGGCTTGTGGTACACTGCATTACACTTTCATTTTGAAGAATTCATATAATCAATGCTTTTGTGTGCAACATGCCACACAATTCTGCTTTCTTTCACTGCTTGCTTACTATTCAAGAAGAAAAGACACAAAGTCACAATTTTAGCATTTTCAACAATGATGTGAGAGGGAATAGAAAGTGAGTTTATTTGTGAGACTGAGAGAAGACATTATTTTGAGGATTAAAATATTAGAGGAGATGGGTGGCTGATACCTTGATAAAGTGAAAAATGCAAATTGTTTAATTATTTATATATTTTTTTCAGGGCTGGAGGTAAAACCCAGAGTCTTGTACATGCTAGGGAAGTGTTCTACCATTAAGCTACATCCTCATCCCTCAAATTAACTCTTAGTAATAGGCAGTAAGTTCCTGTTGCCTCTACTCACTAGCTTTGCAGAATCATCAATCATACTGTGTCACAAATCACAATTTGTCATGGATTTTCAAAATTTAGATTACATTTTTTTAAAATGACACATAAAGAGATACAAATTATACAGAATGCATTATATGATATTTAGATACATATATAGATTATGTACAATGTGCATATTTAAATTGGGTTAAAAATCTTAAATATAATTTTTTAAAATTTATATGTTTTATGTGTGTTGCCTGTATGCATGTACATGCATCACATATATGCTGGTGCCTGTGAAGGCCAGAAGAGGGCATTGGATTCCCATGAACTGGAGTTAGAGATGGTTGTGAGTTGCCACGTGGGTACTGGGAACTGAACCTGGTTCCTCTCTAAGAGCAGCAAGTACTCTTAACCACAAAGCCATCTCTACGGTCCTTTTAATATAATTTTTAAAAGTAATGCTTGAACATAACTGTCATATTATAACTAAGAAACTTTTGGTTATTGAGCATGGTTGTGTATGCTTGGAATCCTAGAACTCAGAAAGCTGAAGCAGAAGGATCTTGGGTTTGAGGATTGAGTAAGCTGTGTAGTGATACCTGTCTAGAAAGTAAAGAAACAAGTGTCTCTCACCTCACAGTTCTCAGACAATATCTTAGATGTATTTTGATGATCTAAAATGAATCCCTGATGTTTATCTTTTTCCCATATCTGTCATCCAAACTATCAGGAAATCAATCTGTTTCTACCTGTAAAGTATATGTTTAACACATTGCTTAACTCTCCCTCAGGAAAGCTTTTCTGTACCACACTATTAGGTGATATGAGTTCCATTCTTAGAAAGGCTTTAGTGCTACAGCTTCCTTTTGCATTGCCCTACAATTTTCTTTCCCTTTGTAGCATATAACATATAATTTAGACATTGATTATAATTTGTTCATTGTTTAAAAAAGTTAGATATGTTTCCCTGTACCCTTTAAAAGGTCAGGACCTTTGTTTTGTTAACTGATGTATCCCAAATACTAAGAAGTGCCTTTGCCCCAAAACACTTGACTGAATGAATGAAGTCAATCAACTGAATGAGTGAGCAGGGGATTTGATTATCTACTAATGACTTTATTTATACACTATTTGATTTTTTTCTCCTAAAATAATATAGACTCAATTCCAAAGCTGGAAACAGCTCTAATATTAAACAATGTATAATTAAATACGTGATGTTCTAGAAATACAACATAAGGTCATTCTTAAATGAAAAATTAAATCTGTATTCTTTGTAGGTACTTGGAAAAGTTATATAAAATAATGTTTAAAAAGTCAGATTGGGCTGGGGAGATGGCTCAGTTGGTAAAGTGCTTACTGCATAAGTATGTGGAGCTGAGCTCAATTCCTAGACCCATGTGAAAAGGCCAAGCGTGATGGGACTTCCCTGAAATTCCTATGGGGGGATAGAGACAGGACAACCCCTCAGGATTGCTAGGCATCCAGTCTAGCTGAATTGGGGAGCTCTGGGTTCCCCTCCCTCAAGAAAAAGGTGCAGGGCAATTGAGGAAGACAATGTCAACCACTAGCTTCTTCATGAATGTACACACATGTGTATCTATGTACATAAGGGGGGTAGATGAGAGAGTTGAGCTAGATGGAGAGAGAGATTGGATCTAATTAAGAGATACTAGTGAGATACTAGTTTCTTATCATGAAATAAAAAAATAGAACACGAAATATTCTATTTAGGGAATAAATGTGATCTCTGTTGCTTAGCATTATTTGAGGGATGTTTGTTCCCAGTCCATGTTGTTCCAATGAGACTGATCCCACTCCAGAGATACACATGGGATTAGCCACAGCCAAGTAGAATTCTGCAACCTCTCAGCCATGGTGAGCTTGGTGACTGTCTTGTGGACAGACTTAGATACGACTGGGAAGGGAGTCATCAGCTTCATGACAGTTTTTGAGAAACAAATGCTGTCCTTGTGCTGTGATTGCTAGTTCCAAGGACAAAGAACAACTAGGAGCTTCTGAGAATCAGCTTTGAAAATGATACCAATGCAGAAGGTGACAGAGCTAAGAAGAAAAAAAGACCATTTGCAGATGACAGGGCTTAAGTCCTGAATCTACTTTCAATCTATGTTCAGTTACATTCTTTCACTTCTGGCTGAAAAAGTTCTGACAGGTGCAATCACATTGATGATGATGACGTAGAATTTATATCTTAAAAATGAAGCATGCCTAAGTTCTTAGTAATTAGAAAATAGGATATTGATTAAGAACAAATTTCATGCCTTTTGGTAAAGTTCTTTTTAATGACAAAAAGATTTTTTTTCCTAAGACCCTATTAAATAATTAACAAATAAAGTCTGGAGTTAATCAAAGATTTCAGTGGTTTAAACTTCGAGAGCTTTTAGTCTCAGTTGTTTTCCCTATGGGGAATTTATAAATATTACTCACTCTATAATTTTGTGTTTAGATTGCACAGAGAAGTCACAGTAATCCACTCCAATGTCTGTGAAGTCAACAAAGGTGGAGGTCAGAATCTGGAATGCCTGAGGATTCTTCTCCTTGAGCTTCTGGCACACATTAAACCCATCTACGATCTCTGAGTCACCTCCTGTGACTGTTTGCTTTATGCAGTGCAGAAGCTGAACCTATGAGGGAACATGGAGAAGGAGATTTAAAAATATAGCACCTACTGTTCTTAGAACATGTTAAAAGCACAAGATATGAATGGACAAAAATCAACAGACAAGCTCTGCTTCCCTGGGCTGCACAACCTGCCAGCCTCTCTCCCAGAAGCCCTCTGGGCCTGGTCCCACCATCATCTCTCTCTGCTTCCCTGGGCTGCACCACTGCCAGCCTCTTTCCTGGGCACTGGGGCTGACCTCTAGGTCTGGAACCACCACTGCTTCCTGATCCTTTGCATCCAGAGGAACCTAGTTCCTTCTTGTGGTCTGCCGGAGCCCTCTGGGCCTGTTCCTGCCCTCACCTCCCTCTGCTTCCCTGGGCCTGCATGGCCCACCAGCCTCTTTCTTGGGCTCCCAGGCTGACCTCTTGGCCCAGGGCCACCACTGCTTCCTGATCTCTTGCATTCAGATGGACCCAGTCCCTTCTCCAGGTCCCCAGAAGCCCTTTGGGGCTGGGCTGCAAAACCTTCCAAGCCTCTTTCCTGGACATTGGGGGCTGACCTCTCCGCTTTCTAATCCTTTGCATCCAGACCAACCCAGTTCCTCAGTGCAGTCCCCAGGAACCCTTGGGGACCTCTTCCCACCCCCCATCTCCCTTTGCATCTCTGGGTGCATGGTGACATGGCCACCAGCTGTCCAAGACCAGCATCTCTCCTGGGCCCTGCTCTCAGGACAGTCCAACTCCCAAATTCCTGAGGTCAAAATCTTTCCTGGAGGGATCCAGACCTTAGGAGAAAGCCAAGACCATCTTATTCTCATCTGACTTGGGCCTCTGTGGGAACTCCTGAAGACAAAAGCAATCTGGCCACTCCAATATAAAATCAAAAGAGAGAACCGGAAGCTTCAGAACTTAGGAGAAAGCCTGAGAGCATCTGATTCTCATCTGACTTGGGCCTCTGTGGGCTTCACAAAAAGAAGCAGACCTAAACTTGAAGTCCTGAGTCTCACACAAGAATCAGAAACTACAAAAGAAATTCACATGTCAAAATCACAGAGAAAAAATAATATGAAAAACTAAAATAACATATCCCCACCAAATACCAATAGTACTCTATAGGAGTACAATGAGAACCCACTAGAGATAATGCAGGACATGGAACTCAAAAGAAAAATTGTAAACATGATGAAAGAATTTAAAGAACACACAAAGAAATCAAAGTACTGAAGGAAGATAGGGTTAAACTTCTGAATGAATTCAGAAAAGAGCTAGAAATATTGAAGGCTACTCAGGCTTAAATGAAGAAGGAATTGAAACACTCAGTAAGTCAATTAGAAATGACAGGAGAAAAACTCACCAATAGGATGAATGAAATGGAAAACAGAATATCAAGACTGGAAGATAATATCAGTGGATGAA